AATCTAGTTTTTTCGTCTTTCAAACGTTCGAGTTGTCGAACTCTGTCGGCCAATTGAGCCATATCTCTTAAGTATTGGGTGTCTAACTTCTTTCGAATGGAATAATCAAGGCCTCTAGCGGCCATTTCGACCAGTTCGTGTTCCGACACTTGCGTGAAACACCTGGCCTTGAGTAGCTGAAACCTATTAAGGTAATCTTCGATTGGCTCCGAAAACTTACGTTTTACGCTGGCTAGTTCTTTCAAACTAATTTTGGTCTGGCCCATGTAAAACTGCTCATGAAACAAGCGTTCAAGTTGGGCCCAACTACATATGGTATTAGGTGCTAGCGTTGTGAACCAAGTGAAAGCATTTTTTGTGAGGGAACTTGGAAAGTATTTTATCCTAAGGCTCTCATCATTCGCTATTTCCACGGCTTCTATCACATAACGAGCCACATGTTCGACAGTAGATTCCGTCGTATCCCCTGAGAATTTAGTAAATTTTGGTACTTTCGTCCTAGGAGGTAACTCTGTTTGAAGGATGTAATCTACTATCGGGGATGTAAAGTTTGGCCGAGTAAAACCAGTGTTTACTCCATTTCGAGCCATAATCCTTTCGACCATGGCCGCTAGATTGTTGTCAATGGCTATGTTATTGCGTCGAACTTCCTGGACCACGTGATCCGCATCCTGGTTTCGGTTTATCATGACCACTCCTTGGTTTCCTTCGTCTAGAACATGGACCTGGTTCATTTGATTTTCTCTTATTGGTTCAACTACAGGAGGTTTGACTCTAACCTGGTTTTCCAAGTGTATTTCCCTTGCGTTTCTTACGTCCTGTCGAGGGACGTTCGCTATTGGGTTTTGATTTCTGGGTACAGGGGGTACTCCCATGAACTCAGCCAATCGTGTCAACTGCAGCGTCAATTGTTGGTTGGTTTGGGTTGTGTTATGGATTAATGGCTGGAAGATTTCTCCCATAGTCTGGGACAAAGTCTGAACCATTTGCATGTTGCTCTCATCCATCTGTTGCCTTAAGCATGCGACTGAGGTATTGGTCAAGTTGGGGCCTTACGTCGAATATCCCAGACTCTGGCCCTGGAAACTTCGACCAATGTTCCACCAGATCCTGATCCTTGCAGCGGAGAAGTCACAGGGTTATCTGAAAAGATGGGGGGAACATTTTGAAGCCCCTGCATCACAGTTGTAGGCATTCCATATGTTGGATTCCTGGGTATCTGTACCAACCGAGGAAGAGGATTTTGTCTAGGCAGTGGGCTTCCTCCTAATGGTGTTTGAGGATTGGACACTTGGGGCCCGATATATTCCAATACTGGCTGACTATAGGGTCTTATTACAGTCGACCCAGTCCCTAGTATCGAAGGTGTTGGTACAGGCCTTACCGAGAGCCCTACTTGCTCTCCTGTCGATGGTATTGAAGACGACGCTCCTTCGTTTCTTGTTTCTTCACTAGAGCCATTTTGTTGGCCATTTGGCTGAACGGATTCCGTCGCCATATTCCTAGTGTTACGTCTTACTAAACTTTCTTCGTTTACAGTGGTTATTCTGCCACTTCTTAGTAACATAAAATGTATTTTGAAGATAAGTTGATAAGGCTTATATTTCTAAAGTTTTATGATCTCAAAACTTTCTTTGTTTAGCACGGTCCCACCGGGTGTGCCATTTTGTTTACCGTGTTTTTTGGTAAACAACCTCTGGTCTATCAATTTGGTGTCAAATTGACTAACTTGCAGGATTGACCATACGAAATCCTAGGACATGTGCTAAAGGGTATTTCTATTTGAACCTATCTAAAAAATGTGTTTCGATAATACCAAGAAGAAGTAATTTAAAAAGGAAGAACTATCCACTACGTTTAAAAGAAGGAAGGAGGAAGAATTACAAGAAGGAAAATAGATAAAGGTTTTTTGGGAGAGAAAGACTTAGTCGAAGTAGTAATGGTGAACAAAAGGAAAGATGAAATAAATAAGTAAAAGTATTTGACAAAAGTAAAGAAAACAAAGTAACTTCATTGAAAAGATAAAGGATGGCGTGTTTACATCACGTACATTCTCTATAATACTCTCTTTCTCTACACTCGGATACTTGGAGTAATTTTAAGAGTGACTTGTACAACAGTAAATTACAACACACTTAAGTTTATGTCTAAGACTCCTATTTATAATAATAATAGTAACTACTAATAACCTCCTTAGGCCATCTATTTCTGACAAGTGTCACACTGCATGCAGTCCTTTATCCAATGAGCGCCACTTGTCCTTCTTAGTCATAAGAAAATATAACTACTCCCTCCAATATTTAAATTTCAAAACTCAATTCGTCCCCACTTCCAAATTTCGGTCGAAGGCTAATTCGCTACTTAGGTCGAAATGTCTAGTTCCAAGACTTCAATTTTTCTAAGTCCTTGGAGGACCTGTAGGTCCTTTAACAAGCTGAAATAACCTCAAAATATGGGTCGTCGAATTGGCGAGCTAACAGATGGCGACTTTGTTCTTTTTGTATAGAAACACAACTGTAACACTGAACCTTTCTCTTGTTAAACTTCTCCTTTCCTCATGAACATTATGATGTTTCTTATCATAATTGAAGATTTTTTATTTTGAACACCACCATCACACTTCTTCTTGTTCTCTAACTATGCCTTCTTCTGGTTCTTCTTGCCAGAAGAAGCTTTTAGAGTCTGAGCTTTTAGAGTCAATTGTAACTGTTGCTCAGTGTTTCTTTCAGTCAGACTCAAGTCTTGTGCCTCTAAAATACTCTAAAGCTATTCAATTCTCATGGTGTTGGTATCTTTAGAGTGTTCCATGGCTACAACTATGTAATCAAACTGAGGAGTAAGGGATCTAAGTATCTTTTCAATGATTACTTGCTCGAATAACGTTTCTCCATAAGATTTCATCTTATTTGTGACCAGAATCACTCTGGAGATGTAATTAGATACCTTCTCATTGTTTTTATGTTGAGATTCTCATATTGCTTACATAAGGACTGCATATTGACCTTCTTCATTGATGCGTCACCCACATAGCATCGTATTAGTGTATCCCACGTCATCTTCGCCGTCGTCGAATCAACAATTTTCTCAAACACCTTCTTATCCACACACTGATGGATATAGAATAATGCCTTATGATCCTTCTTCCTTATATTATGTTGCGCAATTCTTTGTGCTTCTATTTCATTTTCTACAACTGACGTGTAACCTTCATTGGTGAGATCAAGAACATCTTGAGCTCAAAACAACACATGCATCTAAATCGACCACCGATTCCAATTCTTTCCGTCGAGTACAGGAAGCTTTGTGTTCAAGCTATTGTTTCCGTCGTTCATCTTCATTCATGTGCAAATCACTTAATTCTCACTAACACTCGTGTTTCTCAAACCCTGAGAATCAAGATATGTGATTCTCTTCAATTTCAAACTTCAATTCAACGCGAATTTCAGAACTGACTCAATCACACACCTGATTACACTCTTATTTCCCTGTGAATCGAATCAGGCTCTAATACCAATTCTTGGAGTTCAACAATGAACCTCCATTAACAATGCACAAGAAGACGAAGAATAGAGAGAGAGAGAGAGAGAGAGAGAGAGAGAGAGAGAGAGAGAGAGAGAGAGAGAGAATTATGTAACTAACTTTCTAATCTTAAAATGAAAAAATCCAAAATTTGTTACAAATGCATTTACATTTGGGTTTATATAAACACCCAAATTCAATTCAAATTCACATGAAACTTAAAACTAAACTAACTTGAATGTTGAATTACATTCAATAATAACCTTTTAAATACTCTCAAAACTGGTGGATACTCTCAAAAACAATTTTTAAGGACATAATTAGGTCTTCTTAGCTGAGTTTGTATAATTCTCGTGTGTTTTCTCTTCCATTATCTCTTTAGTTTCTTAGATATTTTTTTTTACTTTGAATTTTCACTGCATATTTAATAAATGGTTTTATAAAATAATTTTACTCTAATTTCTTAAATGACTTTATTTTAAATCATTATTTTCCAAACTTCAACATTCATCTCTCTTTTATGTATAAAATCACGTATCAACACTATATCATCCAAAGTCTATCTCATGAAAAGTTATCATTTCGCTATAAAATGTACCCTCGTCAGCGAGACACGCTAAATATATTTATTAGTGTTTTATACACTCTTCGCATAAAACCCTTTCATTTTATCTCTTGCCTAACGAGACTCGCACAAGGGCCGAACTATGTTTAATTTTATGTCTGTGTCCATTAAAACTATGGCAAAGGGTATAGAAATATCTTTTTTCCTGCATTCAACATATCAACTTTTAGGCTAATGACTTTAGGATAATCCGGTTGGATTCAGCATGGGGTAGTACAAATTTGATTAAAGTTAGATGATCTATTTCCAAATAGTTTTTGAAAAATTTGAATTATTCATAATTTTTAATCGACAACATATTTAACTCTTTTAAATAAACAATAAATTTAACTCTTTACTTTTTCAAAAAGAACAGAAAATGTTCATAAAAAATAGTCCACCAATAGTGACGTGAATTACAAACTTTTAGCACCTTTAGTCACTTCACTAGGAGCATGTGCTCACCTTCTAAATTCTTATAGTACATGCCAATGGGACCAATAGTCTCATATCCATTCACATACAAACAAATACAAAACTCTACAAACAATTATAATGTCCACACAAAATAACCTAAATTCTTCTTTCTTGTTCTTAGGAAGGAAGTTTCCTTCACTCAATCAAAAATAAGAGGAAGTTTCGTTATCTTCAACTTTCACACTACTCCAATATGTGATAGTACTTTATGTGATGTGCACTTTTTATCACAAACTTGAGACAAAAAAATCTTGACATGTAGTTTCCATACATAATTCCAAAAGACAACATACGAAACATCCTAATCCTAGTATGTCTTCTTCCATGTTCTTTTCTAAACTCAACCAAATCTCTATATATTCACACACCATTAACATATCCTCAAGAACTATCATTCTAAATGGCACCTAAAAAACTCACTCTTGTTCTCAACATATTCTTCCTCTTTCTCATATTCCTATCCCTCAAACTTTATATCAATCCTTCAAACCCTAATTCTCATCATGTTTCCACAAAATTATTCAACCATGCTAGAATTCTCACTAGTGACATCATAGTTGATTCATGCAATGAGCTTCATAAATACTCAAATTACACCTCTAAGTGCATTTATGTCAAAACACATCCTGATTGTAGATCAAAGGGTTACATAAACTATCTCCAAATCTTTTATTGTAACCTTGGAAGCTCACCAATTCTTGGTCACACATTACTTTTGTTATGGCTTGTAATTTTGTTCTATCTCTTAGCTGACACGGCTTCGAATTACTTTTGCACCTCCCTTGAAGGTTTGTCTAATATTTTGAGACTTTCTCCAACTATAGCTGGTGTAACATTGCTTTCTCTTGGTAATGGTGCTCCTGATTTCTTTGCTAGTGTTGTTTCTTTCACAAGTTCAAATAATGGTGCTGTTGGTTTGAATAGCATTTTGGGGGGTGCATTTTTTGTTTCCACAGCTGTTTTAGGTATCATAAGCATTCTAGTTAGCTCTAATGAAGTTGCAGTTGATAAAGCTAGTTTCATTAGAGATGTCATTTTCTTCTTATTCTCTTTGTTCATTCTTCTCATCATCATTTCCATTGGTAAAATTAGCCTTTTTGGTTCAATTTGCTACCTTTCTATCTATTTTCTTTATGTTTGTGCCGTCTCGGCCACACATTTCATCTACGAAGTTGACAAAAAAGAAGTTGAATCTTCGTCATCTTCTGATGATTTAGTTGAGTCCGGCATACCATTATTAGGTTATGTCGATGATACTGATAATGATTCTGATCAAAAATCAATTTCACCAAACCAAGTTGGTATTGGTATAGATGAAAGCCAGAAGAAGAATAAAGAATTGTTTTATGGATCTTACTACTTATGGAAGTTTCTAGAAATACTCGAATTACCACTTTGTTTACCGAGAAAACTAACTATACCTGTTGTGAGCGAGGAACAATGGTCGAAACCCTACGCAGTTATATCAGTTACCCTAGCACCGATTTTATTCGCGATTCTTTGCAACACACAAATAGAAAATGTGGATTCAAAGAGTACTTTAGTTGCATATTTAACATCTTCATTAATTGGAATTGTTTTTGGAAACATGGCATGTGTGACAACAAAAAGTACAAGACCACCTAGGAGATGTTTGTTCCCATGGCTAGCTGGTGGATTTTCAATGAGTGTGACATGGACTTACATAATTGCTGAGGAACTTGTTTCACTTTTGATTTCAATTGGATATGTAATTGGTGTTAGTCCTTCAATTTTAGGGTTAACTGTTCTAGCATGGGGAAATTCTTTAGGAGATTTGATTGCAAATGGTGCTATGGCTAAAAATGGTGGTGTAGATGGTGCACAGATTGCTGTTTCAGGTTGCTATGCTGGTCCTATGTTTAATATGTTGATGGGATTAGGGTTACCTCTTGTTCTTTCAGCTTGGAGTGAATACCCTAATTCTTATGTTGTTCCTAAGGATAGTTCACTTTTGGGGACAATTTTGTTTTTGATGGTAGGGGTACTTTGGTCACTTGTGGTTTTGGTTAAGAAGAATATGAAGCTTGATAAGTTTTTAGGGGCTGGTCTCTTGACCATTTATCTTTGCTTTTTGTTTCTAAGGTTAGCTATGGCAATTGGTGTTCTTAATTGATTGTAGAAACTTGTGCACTTTCTAATGGAACAATGTAGTACTATTCATGGATTTGAGTTATGTTATATTCTTTTTATAAGTGAGTTATGTTATTGTTGCACATATCAAAATCAAGAGTCTCACATATTCGAATGAGAATTCATAATTGTATTAGTAGTTGAGATATTGAAGAAATATCTTGTAGATCATTATTATTGTAGATTCTAGTGTCTTATATACATAAATTGATAAATTTAAGAATAAAAATAATTATAAGAATTGATAAACTAAGTTGTTGTTATAAGTATGAGTTAAAAGTTCTATATTATTTAAAAAGTGAAATTTAATATAAATGTTTTTTATATGACACTTGAGTGGTATTAGAGTTGATGTTTTAAGTAAGAGATTAATTTTTTGTATTGAATTTTTTTTAACAAAGTGGTAATTAAACGACGTGTTCTGTCAAATTTCACGTGATGTGTGATGTGTGACGTGTTTTTAATCAAAAGAGGGCAAGACTCATAATATAAAAAAAAAATAGGTATAAAAATGAAAGGGGCTCAGGCCATAACCTCAAACCTAACAAAAATGAAATATCTAATAGTTTGAATAATTGAAAAAAAGGAGTAGAAGGGAAAAAATCTAAAATAATTGAATTAATGAATAAAAACTTGAATCAAAATTAAAAAACTCAAATTAAATTATATACAAGATTGACTTCATTTACAATTATGTAAGTTAGAAATGTTTAAATTGAAATTGTTCCAAATATAAATCGTAAACTGATTTAAAAAGTTGAAAAACTAAAAAAAAATCCAAACATTTTTGGATGTGCTTGGATTTCCTTTTTACAAAAACCATTTATTTCAAGTTAAATTTTGGATTGATTTTTTCAAAATGATACACACCGAACCGAACCACATGCAAATATTTTAATATTTATCTATTTTTATTAGTGTTAGGTAGGTCAGAAGGCCCAACGGCTGCGACCTAAAGAATGTGTTGATTCACCAAGTCACTCACGAATGAGGAGTATTATCGTGAGTTAGAGCGTAGACGATTTAGATGTAGAATCCTTCCAATGACTCATTGTCTCATACACTTAAAGATCTATAAGTTGTTATAAACGCTCTACTATATAAAGAGAAAGTACGCCATTTTTCAGGTACAATTCAATTCAAACTTCATTCACTTGTTTCACTCTCATATTAACTTGAACGTTAGAATGCTAACCTTGCAGGTCATCCCCTCATCCACCATGCCAGAAGCTCAAGTCCACCGTGGAAGCCACAACCTCTGATTTTTTTATTAATTTTGGTTCCTAAAAAAATAGTGGCGCCATATGTGAGAATCGATATTTAATTCTTGAGTTTTCCACGTTTGAGCATTTTTATTCTCGATTCATCTCGTGATTCATCAAATCAAAGCTTCCCCAACCTAGAAATTTGAATTTCTTGAAATCAAACAACATGTCATCTGTTCTTGATATACTCCGATCATAGATCAACTCTGGTTCTCAGCTTTTCAAATCTCCAATCTCCAGATCTTCCGACAATGGCAGGTTTTAGAGCCACTCACTCTAATGCTTTATATGTGGTAGCCACAAATGCTCATGCCGTAAGAGATGCACCACCTCATCCTTAAAACAAATTTGATTAAGTCACCAAGAACACTCCACCACATCTAGATCCCGCTCATCCTTCCTTATTCATTGGATCTGCTCTATAATTCGAGCAAGGCGAACAATCGTTTAGGCCTGTAGCATGGCTAGTGGTACTAAGACCATAAACTATGCTTAGATTTTAATTGTTACAAGCCAAACTCGATGTGCAAGGCACAAACGAGATGTTAAATAGTGTGTACAACATGGTTTAACATCACAAATAGTAAGCAATGATGGAGAGGTTACTTCGTCTTGAAGAAAGCATGCACGTCACGAATCAAAGAGGCAATACAATGCAAGAAGCCACCTTTCAAAGAAATCATACCATCGCCCTTATGCTGACCGCATCTTGCTGGAATGCATATCTAATATCTCTGAATCATCAAAGAATCAAGAGACATCACACTCCTCTTCACAGTCCTAAAGGACACCGAGCTAGTCACGTTCCTCCCAGGGAATAAATAAAAAAGCCCCCAGACATGAACTAGCCGAAGCATCCTTCTTCTGTTCGCATTCTTGATAGTCAGATACTAAAATCGCTGGAAAAACCTCTGGAAATGAATGATTACGAATAAAAGAGAGATCTCGATGAACATGTGCAACATGTTGGTTATCACTTAAGTTACTACCATACCGATGAAGCGATAAATGCACTAACACTGACCGGGTTAGCTAGGCTCTAGTTCAAATCTCTGTCTAGCGGGAATGTTGATTCACAGACCGGTCTTTATGACAACTTCGTTGTTTTCTTCATGGCTAATAAAAGGAAACATGTGAAGATATCCTCCCTCAACACGATATCACAAGAGAAAAAGGAGAGCTTGCGATTACATATATACCGTTTTACACAAGTGCCTGTGGAAGATGAAAGCTCCGATGAGAGCCTCAAATGCTGTATTTTTTAGATTATAGCGGAATAGATCCTTCCGAAAGAAACTAGGGCGCCATGAATCCCATTGTAAGAAAGAGCTACTGAATAAGGCACAACTCTTTATTAATCTTGAAGAAAAACGTATCTCCTAAGGAGACAACCAAACATCTACAAATGCAGGTTCCAGCCGGCCATCCGAAAATTACAAATACAAATTATCAAAATATCAAGGGTATTGAATGTAATAAAAATTGACAACGGAGGATAGAGATACTAGGAGCTTACCGAAAATTACCTTCCTCTCTTCCTTGGTATAGGCGTCCATTAATATGTGAGTTTCAATAAGCCGTTTTAAGCATTTCTCTGAGGCTTCATCCCGAGAGAAAATACCCCCGACATAACCCAACTCTTTGAAAAAGGTGACTAGTCACTTTTTCAAGTAAAGTTCCTTTTGCGACAAGTCACTCTCATTGTAGACATATGACACATTCCCTAGTAAAAAGTGGCATTGGTTCTAAGACTTACGAAATAAACCCGTACATCGATTCTCTATTTCGGTCCATATGGCACATACCTTTGCATGAGTATCTTTGTTGAGGTAGGTGACAAAAAAGTATCAATTTTTGAAATGTTTCACGCCATTGGAAAATGCTTTGCAATAACAGATAACATGCACCAATGTAGTTAAGCCATCGCCCTGCGCGTGGCTCGGCTAGCTACATTATCCTCTTAAAAGGTGGAAGAAAAGTGACAAAGATGGTTTTCCTCTCCAATAGTCATACCAAAAATGGAATACTTTAATATATGCCCAATTCACATGGTTCAGTTGAGAGGGGGCAATCATCAAATGATTCATAACCTCTATCTCAAAAATATTGAGAGACAACCAGAGACACAAGATTGAAAAAGTGCCTTCATAGAAAGGAATGACACACTCGTCATAATCATTGCAAATCCTTTTATCTTCCTTAGAGATCAATACACCTTATTCTAAAGAAGGACCCATATCAAAGAAATCCCTTTCAAGGCTCCTTTTGAGAGAAAATGTTGAAACAGTTATCGAAACTGCAGAGTCAACCCAGAAAACAGAAGTATCCTCTTTTAATGTTTGACTCATAGTGGGTACCACTTCCATCTCTTGAGAAAATATGTTGTGGAAATACATATGGCGAAAGAGCAAAGGTAACATTCCAAGAAGTTATATAACTGACTTCTCAAAGATCATATAATGTCTTACCAAAAGGAAGATGATATGCACTATCGACGATCAAGATCGTCTCGGAAAAACACTCAAGTACTTTAGTTTCCAAAGTTTATCATGATAAATTATACAAAAAGACATCAAAATCAAGAGGCACATTTAAGGCGTGAGTTCCCAATGACAACAACATCACATCATGGATTTCCACTCAAGTCGGGCTATAACCGACAAAAACAGACAAACACAACAAAGCCATCACCTATAAAGTAGAGGCAAGGGATTTAGGGGGAGGGGGAACTATTATTGGGCCATTCAGAAGGCCTAACAACTACGACTAAAAGGATGTGTCGATCCACCAAGCCACTTGCAGAACATGAGTGTTATCTTATATTTGAGCGCAGGAGATCCAAATTCAATATTCATCCAATGACTCCCCACCTCCTATATAACCACTATACTATATAAAGAGGAAACACATCATTTTACATATAAAATTCAAATTAAAACTTCATTCGCTCATCTTACTCTCATAATGACTTGAGCGTTAGAGTGATAACCTTGTAGGTTAGCCCCCTCCCACCATACCAGAAGCTCAGGTCCATTATCGAAATCATAACCTCCAATTTTCGATCAATTCTATTTCTCAAACAAGGTGAGGAAAATACAAAAGAAGGGGGTTGAATTGTGTTCACCAAAATAAAAACATTTATGCTTCTAAACAGAGTTCAGACTCTAAACGTTTGTTCAGAATCTGATCATACATGCAGCGAAATAATATATCAAAAGTAGAATAAACTGAACACAAAACATGACAGATTTATCCTGGTTCCTCTCCTAAATGAGAGTACTTTAGTCCCATTGCCTTGCAAGATATTTTCATAATCAATCACATGATTACAACTGCTTATGCACTCAAGCATAAGACTTTCACTGCTCAAACCTACAGTCTAAGACTTCCCTACTCAATCAACACCTGATCAATACTTCCTGCTTAGATCCTCATATCCTAAGACTTTCCTTGCTCAAACCAACTGGTTCAAGGCTTTTATGCTTATACCCACCATCTAAGACTTTCCTGCTTAGACACACCATCTAATACTTTCATGCTTAGACACAATTGTTGCTGTGAGAATTGGATATCAAGCTATTGATTAACTTGAATCATAAATCTTTAAATATTCACTACCTAACTTTGATTTATCCAAGGGAAAGGGTAAAGATAGTATAAAACCCTAAGTTTGCAATGTAACACAATTCTAAGAGATTGTGGGGTTCGAAGGTTGGTT